GCTTGGAAGGAGAAACCGCCACGATGTATGGCTGTCAGTAGAGCAGAGACATTTATTCGCTTCTTCCACCTATGACCATTGGTGGAAGTTGGGTCTCGCCCATGGTATGTGATAGCATGTAATACATCTGAGGCGATTCTTGGATCGAGCACCGCGGCCTTTCTGTTCACCAAAATCAAGCAGGGTTGGTAGTAGTAGTGTGCTCCTAAAACGGGCCACACGATAGACGTGATAGACCAACACAGGGGCCAGATAGGAGTCCGGCAGGCGTTATCGGAAATGCGCACCTATGAGAAATGCCAACAATGGAGGTGTGGCCACAAGCCTAGTTGCAGGCGCACGTCATACCAATTGGGATCCGTGTCACCCCACAATTTTTGTTCTGGTATAAAATCCTAGTCCGTGTAGGTTGTGGACCTGGGGTGTGGTGGTACACATACGTGTGGGCTTTCGTTGTGCTAGCCACCTACTCCCTCTCCCGTCTCCGGTCTTCTTGACTCTGCCTTGACACTGGATCCAGGTGGGGGGGAATGCCCGGCAGATACAGCGCAAGTCTACTATCACTATAAACTAATTCACGTGCAAGTCACCGTGCCTCAGCTTGTTGTAGAGCATACTGTGGACATCGTCGGCAACGACGGCCGAACCGCCGATAGTAGTAGTAGTAGTAGTAGTAGTAGTAGTAGTAGTAGTAGTAGTAGTAGTAGTAGTAGTAGTAGTAGTAGTAGTAGTAGTAGTAGTAGTAGTAGTAGTAGTAGTAGTAGTAGTAGTAGTAGTAGTAGTAGTAGTAGTAGTAGTAGTAGTAGTAGTAATAGTGGCCAGACAAGAAGTCACGCAAGGAGAGCCAAGTTAGGCGCGAAATCATACTACATACTAAGATGCCAAATATAATACGTTTGCCTCTCATGGGGAGATTGCAACTGCCCGAAAAGAGCGAATCGTGTAAGTGATCCAGCCGGTATGGAGTGTGCAAGGTGGTGCGGGTCATGGAATGGAAGCTAACCCCGAGGAAATCAAACCGCACAGGCAGACGTACATAGGCCAGGCAAAGTAAATGAGCATACGAAATCGTGCAAATAAAATGTTAGGGGGCGCTCACCGATCGTTCATACGGAACTCACTCGTTCCGTTGTGCCTTATGGACTCTCTCTCGAGCCCAACCAGCAGCCGCACAGCGGCGCATGATATATAGGCAGAATTATATTACCGACAAAGACAAGGGAGACTGGAATGGCCATTTCTGGCTTATTAGCCGTCGTCAGCCAGCCATACCCAAGCCCGAAGTGTGGAACACCCGAGCCCCGAACTCGCGACCTGTTGGTTTAGAAGTCAACGCCTCTACTCACCGGGCCACGAGCCCGTTGCCCTGTCGGTTTTCGATCGGGAATATACAATGTTAGGGGGCGCTCACCGATCGTTCATACGGAACTCACGCGTTCCGTTGTGCCTTATGGACTCTCTCTCGAGCCCAACCAGCAGCCGTACAGCGGCGCATGATATATAGGCAGAATGATATTACCGACAAAGACAAGGGAGACTGGAATGGTCATTTCCGGCTTTTTAGCCGTCCTCAGCCAGTCATACCCAACCCCGAAGTGTGGCACACCCGAGGCTCGAACTCGCGACCTGTTTGTTAGAAGTCCACGCCTCTAACCACTGAGCCACGAGCCCGTTGCCTTGTCGGTTTTCGATCGGGAATATACGACGGTGGGGACGCTCACCAATCGTTCTTACGGAACGATTCCAGTCTCCGTATGAACGATCAGTGAGCGCCCCCTAACATTGTATATTCCCGATCGAAAACCGACAGGGCAACGGGCTCGTGGCCCGGTGAGTAGAGGCGTTGACTTCTAAACCAACAGGTCGCGAGTTCGAGGCTCGGGTGTTCCACACTTCGGGCTTAGGTATGGCTGGCTGACGACGGCTAATAAGCCTGAAATGGCCATTCCAGTCTCCCTTGTCTTTGTCGGTAATATCATTCGTGCAAATAAAGTCAAGTCTCGCACGCAATAGTTCGTATCCCTAAGAGATTCGGGAAGATTATGGGTTTATATAAACCTGCTTTCGAATGCGAACGCCAGTGGAGGGCGAAGAGGACAATATAAGAGAACCGAGATCCTAAAATTATAAATACTCCTTCAAATGAGCAGGATAAAAGGAGACACCGGAACAGTAGTTTTGATAACAGTGGCATTAATGTGCATTCCGAACTGAACAGGTCTCGAGTCGAACCAGTTGCTTAGAGACAGTCAACAGAGTACCACAAACAAAACGACAACCAACATGGGTGGTGTGGACAGAAGCATAAAAATGCTGGCCCTAAGAAGGAGGGTTCGAGAGTTATCTAAGAATGAAACAGTTCCCGCTTTTCTGTTCTGCTGTCCAACGTTACGGCTATAGAGTAGGGCGAACTTTGTTATAAGAAGGCTGTCTTGAATAAATGAGTGCAGGGACGAAATAAAGCGACAAAAATGTGTCATCAACTCAAGGTAGAGTGGATGTCCATCAAGGTGTAATTCGGGCAGGGGCTCACGCTACTCATCCACACATAGACAGCAAACATATGGAGATGACGTAACGCAAACAGGCGTGGACAAAGTGTTGCATACCCATATAGGCGAAAGAACGGTGTAGCCGCCAATGAGGGAGAGGGGGAGAGAGAGATAGTATAGCACAAGGAGATCTTCATTGAGACATCATATTTATAGTATATATGAAAGACGAACTGGCACTATACCTGAGCCTAAGATAATGGATAACGAGGGTAGGCAAGGTTGTGCAGGGAAGCGGGCTTGTGTAGAAGACAATGTTTAAAACCACTGCCTAAGGTTTTAACCCGTCCTGCCTCTAGCGAATCAGAGCTGAAGGATCGCAAACGACAGGCACCTACCCTAACTATTACTACACTTTGCCAGAATTCCAGCATGAGACAGTTCGACCGCCGTCTCCGATGATGATGGACGCAACGACGGTAACTTGCAAGTGAAATCGTTTAGTGGTCCAGCGTCTACCGCACTCGTTCATCCTCCCCCATCTGGGTCCGGTATCATGATCGTGTCAAGAAGATCGGAGGTGGGAGAGGATGCAGATGGCTGGCACAGCGAAAACCCGCATCTTGGCATGCCACCACACCCCCTGGTCCACAAGGTACACTGACCAGGATTTTACACAAAATAGGGGGCGGTTTGGCTCCCAATTAGCGCGGCACGGGCCTGCCGCCACACCCCAAATGTTGGCATTTGTTGTGTGCGCATTTCCGACAACGCTTGCCAGACCCCGGTCCGGCCCTCGTGTGGGTCCAGCTCATTTACCACCGCCCATTTAAGAATAAAATGAGGGCAAATGTGATCATTTAATGGAACTAGTTGTAGTAATCGTTTTCGGTACTGTTTTTTTTTCGGTCGGGGGACGTATATAACAGCACTTCAGATCGGTGCCACAGGGTTCTTACCCATGTCTCAAGCCCTTTGCATTCCCCTACGATAATTCCCCGTTCAACTGCCTCTTTTCTGCCCCAACGAACAATGATCGGGCGTGTGTAGTATATGAACGTTTCAGGAAACAACCGCTTAGTCCTCATACCATCCACGCGGCTTCATATAAGATTAGAGCTGGTATGAAAGAATTTTTCGCCGGCATCTTTTTCGCATTGTTTTTCAGTATTATCTGCATAAGTGATACAGTACGTTCGTATCTTGAACTAATTTTTTTAAAGACAACAAAAGATACATTTGTACTGCATTGCAGGTAATGCAAGATCCACATAACCAATCGGTGGGCCTCACCTCACTCTCTCATCCCACAGTATGGAGTCAAGATTAGCGATGGGTGTGGGTGCAATGACTGACAAGGCTGAAATCACGCCTGTCAGTGACAGAGACGTGCTGGTCCTACCTTAGCATGAACCAGCCTTTACTTGGGGGTTTCTGGATCTGGACGCCGAGCTCAACTTTTTCTCCCTCCCTCCCTCCCTCCCTCGCACGTGCCAACAGTCTATTCGAGTCGAGAAAACCGGGAATAAGATTGGGCGCAGTAGATGGCGTTGCGTGAAGCTTCCGCCCAGAGCGTGCTACAGGCAAACACCCACGGCTACGATGTGTCGCCCCACACAAATCGGCTTCGGCAAACTGCATCGCATGATTATTGTATAATGAATTTGGTAACTCTTTAGTGGTGGCTGTTTTTGTGTGTGAACGCGTGACTGGTTAGGCCTGAAGTAAGTGAACAGTGTGGGCATGTGAGATGGATCTGGACGACGTTGACCGGAGCTTATGGTAGCGACTCTCCGGCCGCGCCTACGCCCCCTCTAAGTACCAGGCAAACACAGTTGGCCGACACCTGCCGTCCAATTTACTGTGTACTATTACCAGACATTGCTTCATAGCCATTACCAAATATGCGGGACCAAGTGATTTGCGCACGATCTAGATTATACTGAGGGGCATTACGGTACTATTAACCTCACTCCCTTCTCCTGCACAGAGGCCACTAAAACCTGACCATGGGCCCAAATACGAGACATTATGTTGGCTACATTGACCTCATCGCCTGTGCGTTCCCCGGTCCCACCTACATAAACCCCTATTACCATCGATCCCGTATTACAGGTGGCTGGGGTTTGTCTACCTCCGGTGGGGCTAATATAACTGCATCTGACCGCTACATTTAGGTTAATCTGGTGCATTGCGAGATAAACACTAGAATAGCAAGTCAGTACAGTCGACTCTGTTATTCGCGGGAGTTAGGGACCACAGGTACCCGCAAATAGCTGAAACTCGCGAATGCTTAGGACCCCCTAAAAATGCTTAAGCAATGTCTATTTTTATGCTAAAACACCAAATATACCTTAAACCATCGTCTTAAAACACTACCATTATTTGCTCTGCTTGTATTAATATTAGCATTTGAAAGTAGTTCTTTGTCATAAAAATGTATTTGTCCACGAAAATAAATGAAAATATGCAGCGAATACTTTACATATGCTCTACGAACAGAAAAAAATCCGCGAAAAAGTGAACCCACAAATAATGAACCGCGAGTAGGAGATCAACTACATATGCATACGGCAAGGTCAGACACGTGTTGGATACCTATATTCGCTAAATTTGCCATTATAAGCAGACTAAGGAGGGATTATTGCAGTCTGGTTTTTGGTCTAAAGGGCTAAGTCATCCCGTTAATTGGTGATTTTCGAAGATATGCCCTTTGACAGCTTAGATGGGCAATAAAAACGAATTCACATTTTTAGGAGATTAGCTGGTAGGGGGTGGGTTGTTTAAAGAAACCTAGAGCATTCTGACACAAGGCTCGAACGAAACTGACAGAGGACCAGATGGGCAAACTGCAACAAGCATCTTCGCCAGACCGTCCCTGTTTACCCAAAAGACAAACCGTTCTTATCCGATCCTCTCTTAGAAATTCCGGTTGTCTCATTCAATGGAGCTTGAAAAAAGTTGTTAACAGACTAGACATTTGATGCGGCACTATGCCAAATACCTCGCTTAAGAGATTGGCGGTGGAGAAATCACGTGATAAAAATGCAAAACTATCGCATCGTTGTCTCTACTGTCCTATAGTTCTCAACCTATAGGCAATAGTAAGAGTGGAAAAAAAACAAGACAAAAAGAAGCTTCCGGTTCCTCAGTGTCTATTACAAATTTCTCGGGTTCATTTGGATAAGGTGCCAGAACAAAGAAGTTCCCAATGTCACGCGCAGATAGCAATTACAGGAAGTTGAGCCAATGAAAGCGTCAAAAGTTGGTGGGTGGATCGGTCCCATGACCGGCGCGAACACACGAAAGCCTCACCGCTAACGGTCACGTGGTCAAGTTGCATGGGGCTGCGTTTTTTGGATTAAAAAGGTAC